ACTTATTCTAACAGAATGTGAGATCATGAATGATAACAGGCAAAATTACAGATTACATCTGAGCTACTAACCTGTAACTTTCATAGACCATCCACTTGACACAAGCCAGTGTGTGACTAGGCTGCCCTCCTTCACAAAGCCAATGAGGAGATCAGAGAGGCTGTATCTCCTCGAGATACACCTCCTTTTCCATGCAGTCATTTTATTTCATGGTACCATTTCTAACCCTTATGACTCAAAATAATCAAAATTGGAACACTTTATCCTTATTAGGGGTCACCTACCTATACAAGACTCTCTTCTTGGTACCAAGAAAGTACACCCTAACCAAAGTCATAGAAATCCTGAAATTAGCATAAGGACTTTCTTTGAGGCTACTTTCACTAAAAAATGAAAAACAGGAAACACCTCACCCACCTTGAAGTCTGTGCCATTTAATTTACCAGGTCAGTGAGGAAAGGGTTAACCATAAAACTAAAATCCACTCATATCCTCTGAGAGGCCACCTGATGATCTATTTCCTCTACCTAGGAGGCAGCTCTGACAACTACCAACCACCTACAGTTCTTCCTAATCCAAGAGAGTATGAGTTCACGAAACTACCTGACAAGCTGCTCTCAAGAATTGCAGGAATAATAGTAATGACCGCAAGGGTCATGGAACAGCCAGAATACTTAAGCATTCGAGGCCTTCTCTTCTCCAGTCTACAGGACAATCCTAGGCACTGCAGCATTCAGCCCCAATGTATAACAGAGCAACTGAAATTTCAATTGTCCAAGTCAATCAGAATGTAAGGCCTGCCTCCTTGAATATTCCACACGCTGCGCAGCTGGCTCTAACTTTTTGGGGTTTGTGTCTGTAATTTCTTGCCACTTAATACACTTAACTTCTGAGACTATTGTTATATAATATGGGAATTAAAGTATTAATATATTTATCTTGTTTTTTCTGGTTATTAGTAAAATATCTAAAATCCATATACATTCACTTATTCCATCAATGAACTATTATTGAGGGACTATATTAACCAAGCACCATAACACTTATTAAATATAAAAATATGGCAGAAATATACAGCCTAGGCACCACCTCCTGCTCAGCAGTAGTCCTTCGTTATCTATGGAGAGACATTCCTTCCATGCCTGAAGCCACAGCACCCCAAGCCCTATTCATATTGTTTTATAAACTCAAGACAAAATTTAACTTACAAATTAGGCTCCCTAATAGGTTAATAATAACCAATAACAAACTGCAACTAGTATAGGATAGTGTAAATACTAAGTGTGTGAAACTTTTGAATCATTTCTGGAACATTGCATTTAACATTTTCAGACACAGTCAAAAGTAAAGCCAATGGGGCAAGGGGCTACTGTAATAGGAAGGACAAATAAGCAGAGAACTATGGTAACAGTGTGGCACACATAGATGTGTAGGGAACAAGTGTATCCAAAGATGGACCGTTTGTTCAGTTACAGAAAAGCAAGTCAGGGGAGCAGCACGGAAAAAAAACAAAAATCCGAGATGAGTCTGGGGAGCTCTCCCAGCAAGAAGCAGGACCCAGTGACCCCCGGTGGAAATATTTCATCACCTCAAACCCTCATCCATATCCCGGAAATTCCTTAAGAGTAGAGACCTTTAAAAAAAAAAAAAAAACACACAGTCCAGATTTTTATGAGGTCCCCCATGACCCATGGGCAAGCAAAACACACAAATGTGTGAGTCACAGCCCTTCACTCACACCTTGAAAACACCAATGTGCTAAGGTCAGGGAGACCCGGCCACACAGTAGCCAGACACCACCCCATGTAGACCAGGATCTTTCCCATTCCTGGTACCACCTTGTCCACGGGGAACTCTACAACCTCCACCAGATCAACCAAGCCCTCTGTGGGCCAGAGCTGGTGCCAAGAGAGTGCCTCCAGCTGTCTTCCTGGAGGACAGAGCACACCTCACGCTAATCTGTTTCCCTGTGCAGAGCTGAGTAACCAACATGGACAGCCCAGAAGATACAAGTCCGTGACAATCCAGGAAGAGACTGTTCTACGATGGGATGTCTTGTGATCAAGGGAAGAAGAAAGGGAGGAATAAAAAGAAGAGAAGAGGAAAGAGAGAACAATGCGTTGGCCTAAAACTGACATTGTGACCTACCTCTCCTAGCACACACCACCTAGATAACATCGGTTCAGAAAGGCCACAGTGGGGACCGGTAACTGGGCAGCAAGCAGACCAGTGACATTCGTCAACTCTCTCCACCACAGACAACCATTTCTATAAGGACCCACTCGGAGCCTCACAGAAGCTGATAAGGCCAAAGATCTGGTCACAGACTTCCAGACTAGTCCCAGACTAGCTTCCTCTTCCCAGTCTCACTGACTACTAGTGATTGGAGTTATGTTCAGTTGTGTGTCACTAACCCCAAGACAGCCCACCCTCCTAGAGTCCACTTGCTCTGCCTCACCTCTAAAGCCAGCCACAGGAAATGAGGGGCTGGCAGACAGCGGCTGGCACACTTCACCTGTGCCCTCTTCAAACAACAAAAACCTATGAAAGCAGTTTTTGTCAGCTTCGTTGACCACCATAACAAGATGATAAAACCCTTTTGTCACACCATGTGGCTGCAGGACTTAGAGAAATCATTCTCACACTAACCAGGAGACTTGCTCTCTGCTGGCTAGTTTTCACAGTACCAGAAGGTGGAACGCAGACCACTGGAGAAGAGCTATCAATGGTATTGCTCTGCATGCTACAATACAGACCTGCCAGGGAAGATGTGCCCACCGGTGATATAGCGGTACGACTGTTACATGGGTAACCAACCACTTTCTGATTGGAGGTGAGGCATAATCCACAGGGGAGAATTCATACCTGGTACTGTACACCCAGTCAAAAGCCTGTGGCTGGCAGTCCCCCAGGCCCGAGTGTAGAATCTGCCATTGTGATTTTGCTAAACGATCATATTGCCTTCTAAATATTTGTCAAGCTGCCTTCTAAATATTTATGTTTTATACTCAAAGATCTATGCTTCTCTCAACTTTGTTTTTCTAACCAAAGTTTCATTTTGCAATGGGCAGCTGTTAATGCAAAGGCTCCTAATTAGTTAAAGTGCTTACAATAAGTGACAGAGAGTCCTCGGCCCTAACTGGGACATCTGCATCACCACCACCCTCTCCCAGGCTCAGCGAACACCTGGGAAGAGAGGGTAGAAAGAATATAAAGAGTCAGAAGACAGGGAGGAGTGTTATGAGATGCTATCTTCCGGACAATGGCATGGCTGGCACACTCATCAATTCACAACAACTGGGGTCACCTGCACAAGACCCGAACAAGATCAAGCCGGTCAACATTCCAGCACGCATGGGAAGGGGGTCTAAGCAGCTCCCAACCCTAGCTGAAGAGCTTTGGGCAGCTGACAGCTACTAGTGGAGGAAGAGCCGTTTTTTCTGTGGGGGTGTGGCTATCGATAGATAGCCATGCTCTGGTAGATGGTCCCACACCCATATGCATGTACGGGCCGCCCTAACTGGACTCAGTGGGAATAGTAAAAGGAGGAGGAAACAGCAGCCATGAAGTTAAGGGAGCTGTGGGAGGTGTCCAGGGGCAATTGGAGGGGGGAAATAAGGGGCAGATAAGATCAGGATTCATTGTATAAATATATGCAGTTCTCCAAGACTATAATATACAACAGACAGTGGAGTAGCCAGTGGCCCCAACTACTCCAGAAACTGAGGCAGAAGGATTGCTTGAGCCCAAGAATTCCTGGCCAGCCTGGGCATCATAGTGACCCTGGTGACTATGTTAAAGAAGAAAGAGGCCGGGCGGTGGTGGTGCACGCCTTTAATCCCAGCACTCGGGAGGCAGAGCCAGGCGGATCTCTGTGAGTTCGAGGCCAGCCTGGGCTACCAAGTGAGTTCCAGGAAAGGCGCAAAGCTACACAGAGAAACCCTGTCTCGAAAAAAAAGAAGAAAAAAAAAAAAAGAAGAAGAAGAAAGAGGAGACTGGGGAGGAAGGCCAGTGAAGAGAAAATAGAGAGGTAAGGGAGAAAAGAAGGTTCCAATTTTACAGAGAAACATGACAAGTTGTCAAATGTGAAAGGTTAAACGAGCCCTGGTGACAGAGGCCTGTAATCCCAGCACTTGGGAGGTGTGGGCAGGAAGATCAGCAGTTCAAGGCCAGCCTGTACTACTTAAGACCCTGTCTCAAAAGGGGGTGAAGGGGGTGGTTAAGCCCCTTCTCTTTCACAGCTTCCTGATCATGCGCAGTAGCCACATGAGGTTCCAGAGGATCGCAGAGCCTGAATCTAGGAATCTCTGCACCAGGTGAACAAAACTGAGTTCCCTCAGGAAATGGCAGCTGAGTGGATATCCAAGCTTTCGGCCGCAGCAAGCCACATGGCAGCCCTTAGGAAGGCTTTCCCCTGGAAGGTACCGAAAAGCAGGGCACAAAGAGTTGAATTTTGCTTTTTCTGCAAAACCCTACAAATAAGTTTTTAACTTGGTCTTATTAAATTTTTTTATCACATTATTATCTTTCTCCCACCTAGTATCACCACCTTCTGACAGAACTCCCTTTAACAGAGCAGGCCCTGCCCCTCAAATGGCTCACCAGTAGGGGTATCCATCTAAGGTTCTAATGACATGGGGGTCACTACCCCCACGCCAGGAGGTAGGCCAGCTTCAGCTTCCACGGGCCCAGCGTTCACTTTTTCGTTTGCCTACTTAATTTTTTGCTCACTGTCTAGCAAAACCAGAAAGCCCTTCCAAGTGGGGGGAAAAAAAAAAGCCGCACTCTTGATTCCTAGCCCATCACTCAAAGACCCGACCCCCAGCTCCCCTCCTCCCAGCTCCCATCACCCCTATGGAAAAACAAAGGGCTCCTTAAGGTCCCACCTTCAACTCCCTGGCCGGGCCGCAGCCCCTGCCGCACTGAGATTCCCTCACCCCCACGTCCCCTGCACCGCCCCGGCCTTGCCCCCGCCGAGCTGGCCGGCAGCTGCAGTCACCTGCGGCGGCTCGGGGGTGGCAGAAAGCATTTGCCCAGCACGTTTCCTTCTGCCGTTCTTTTGCAGGTAGAAAAGGCACCTTCTATTTTAATCGAGGTGTAAACCCACCCCACCTACAGCTACTCTGAAACCCAGGGAGAAGATGAAGTCCCCTGGGAGGAGCTAAGGAGGCGCGGAGGCCTCGGCTGCGGGGTGGGGGTGGAAGGTGAAGCCGCGGTGGCCCGGACGCCAGGTGCGCCCCGCAGCCCCTCCGCCCCGCCCGGGCCCGCGCCGCCGGGTCCTAGCGCCGATGCGACTCCCAGCGGGCGGGGCTGGGGAGGCTGGGCGCCGAGGCTCCCGGCACACGCACAGCGCTGCAGAGGTTGCTAATATTGGGACCTGCCGCAGCAGCAGCAGCGGGAGACCGCGGCACTGCTGTCACCCCGGGGGCCTGCTTCTCACTGCAACCGGATGAAAGACTTAAATAACCCTCCTTCCCCACCCCCACTGCGCACAACCGCCCACTCAGCTCCATCCGAAAGAGGGTGAGTGGCACCGGCAAGAGCCAAGCGCGCCCTTCCCCCCGCGGTACACCCGGCCGACCTGCTATACTCGCACCCGGGGTCCCCAGCAAGGGCCGGGTCTTCCGCTTCCCTCCTATCAACACCCCCTCACACCCAAGCGCGCGCGCGCGCGCGCACACACACACACACACACACACACACACACACACACACACACACACACACACACACAGTGCGGAACCAGAGAGTAGAGATGTCACTTCCTTGGCGACACCTTCTCCAACCTCTAGGATCGAGGCGGGGTGAGGAGATGGGGCTTTTTGTTTGATAATCTCGGTTCAGCCGCTGTACCTGCAGTCCTTGTCCGCTGACCCCTGAACGCGCGCGCTCCCTGGCCCTGCATCCTAGCACAGATATCTGATGTCTCTCTCAAGTGCGCGTGGCAAACGTCCTATCTTAAAGGTGACTGCATTTTTTAAAAAGAAAGAAAGAACGCCGTGGGGGCGGGGGAAGGTACGTGGAAGGGCCCGGAATGTGAGGGCCATCCAGTGACCTGGGCCCAGTTGTGGAGCACCCAGGGTTGGGACCGGGAAATTCACACAATGAAGGTGGCCCTAGCTGGCCGCAGCGCCCCTGCAGCCCTGCGCTCTGTCTGCAGCCGGCCTTCTGCTCCAGCGAGGCCAGCTCCAGAGCCCTTCCAGGGCCAGCAGTTAACAATAGCATGCCACCCCCTGCACCGCCTGCGCAGCCCTTTGTCACCCCCACCCCCACCCCTTCCCCTGCCGCTGTGGCCTCGCCAAGCTGTGGGCCCCCGACCCACCTCCCAGACCCGGCGGAGCCCCACGACTCTCCCAAATCCCGCTGCGCGCTTCTGAAACAAGGGGAGGGCGGGGGGACCCTGCGTGAGACCGCGAAGCCCAGTTCCGACCTCTAGTCTGTCCTCAGACCCCGCCACCAACTCTCCGACTGCGGTGCGCACCTCCGGCGGTTCCCACACCGCACACCACCACCGCGCTGCCTCGGGCGGCGGCTGTCAGCACCACCAGACCCCGCACTCACACACAAAGAGAAAGCTAAGGGACTGGACACGGGCAAAAAGGAAAAGTCGGACACCCTTCGCGCGGCCAGAAGGGTGTCGGCCCCTGTCCCTCCCCTTAGACCTAAGCGGTCCCCGCAGCACCGAGGGACGCAGTGGAGCAGGGTGGAAAGGGAGTGAGAACCCGAGCGCGCTTAGGACCGCGCGGAGCGAAAGCAGCGCGGGGCCGGGGGCTGAGCCCGCACCTGCCAGCCCCGAGCGCGGGAGGACCCGGCTCCCGCTGCCCCGAGCATCAGGCGGACTGCCCGGCGCCCTGGGACACTCAATCCCCGCCACCGCCCGCCGCCCGCCGCCTGACTTGCTCCGAAAGCCGGACTCGGTAGCAACCCTTAAGGTGGCCAGCTAGACAAGCACTCTAGAAAAAGTTTAGTCTTCCCTCCGCGACAGCCAGCAGCGACGTTTACTTCTAGGGTGATGAGAAGATAGTTAGGTTTCAAAGGAATAATCGCGGCCACCGGCTACGCTTTCCGTTTTTCAGCAGCGAGGGGAACACAAGTCAGTAGGAGAAATTGACTGGGTTCAGTTTTGAGCCCAGCCTCTGTAGTGAGCCAAAGGGAAAACCCTGGGCCTCGAGAATCTGAACTATCCCCACCCAGGCCTGAACCCTCATCACCTTGGGGCAACATCCACAGTCCACAGAGCTAAACACGTAGTTTAGATTGAGTCCAACATCTGGCATTAAGGCATGAGGAAGAAAAATCACCACAGGACTTGGTTTTACGACCTAGTCTAAGTGTCCTCAGGTGGGTTCACTCAGGAGTTAACTCCTTCCAACAGTCTTGTTGCCCACATTGTCGATTTTTTTTTTTTTAAGTAAGGACGGGGGGAAACCGTGATTCCACACACCCCGCCCCCTCCCCAACCCCAGGCAGTGCTCATTCGCTGACTTAGCACTGCACCACTGAAGGTGCCCCGCCGGGCACGTGTGTGAGAGCATGAAAGTGGGCAGAGTCCCCACCTGAGTCTGCAGCCTTCGATGCTGAGTCACAAGTCCTCTGCTCGGAGCACGAAATCCTCGGAAGGGCCTTTAAAATGAGCCTGCAGCTTTTGCAAGCGCACGCAAACCCTCACCCCAGAAAGCCACTCGGGAAACCCACACAAGGCTGCACACGGTGGAAATTAAAAGGCAGAGGTATAGAGAGTCGATGGCTGGAAGATCCAGCACTCCTAGTGAGATGTCGGCCCCTTCCCAGGTCATCTTCCCCAGGCGCTCCTGCTCTGGATGCTTCAGATCTGAAACACGACTTTAGTACTCCCCACAGAACAGCCAGCAATCATAGCCTGAGAGACTTTCAGACTGGCCCCAGGAAAAGAAAAAAGAAAAAAAACGACACGCTTAATTTACAATTCAAGCAGAATACTTATTAGAGGGAAAGGGAAGGGGGAAAAACTTAATCGGAGCAAGATACCGACTACCTACATCAAACTGGGTGCTTTTTAAAGTTCTTAGTGATTAAAGCTTTAAACTCGTGGAATAGATCCATTAAAAAGAAACTTCTTAAGCCTGATTTTCTCCCGTATCTGATGAAAAAAAAAAACTTGGAATTTGGGTTATATTCATAACTCATCCCCACCTTAAAAGAGGAAGAAAAAGAAGAAGAAGAAGAAGAAGAAGAAGAAGAAGAAGAAGAAGAAGAAGAAGAAGAAGAAGAAGAAGAAGAAGAAGAAGAAGAAGAAGAGCGGCCTTTCAGTGTAGACCTGCACCAGTGCCAGCCACAGATCTGCAATTCCGGAGGCTTTTTCCCTCCCTGGGCTGGCAAGACACGCACAGAGACCGGGGTGGGGGGGAGGGGGTATGAATATGAGAATATATCCCTTCCAGCATCCCCGCCTAGCCACCGCCTATCCTGGTAGTTAACAATCTGAACATGTCACCGCGTGGACACTGAAGGGTTAAAGGCATACCTACCGAATCGGCTGTGGTCTTTCCTGGTTCCCTGGATAGTACCGTTGGGGAAGATTTCTAAGTGAAATCCAGTCCTGCAGTACAGCTGCCTCCGCCTGAGAATCCCCTTTAAATGATCCAAGTCCGTGACTGCGGGTCCCCGGGGCAGCCCCCCTGCTTCAGACTGACCCAGGTGGTCACTTAGCAACACCGGACTGTCCACCGGCAACACCGGTACGTTCCCGAACGGTACCGCGTCCTGCACACCGAAATAGCTCCCAACTTCACCTAAGGGAGCCATCAGAGGACTCGGCTTTTAAGCACAAGAATAAACAATAATGATGGTATCAACCAGGAGACACTAGGCGAGGTATATCCAACTGCCCTCCCTTGCTGTAGTTGCAGAGAGAGGGGAAAAAAGGGTTCTTTTCTTCAATCCATCCAATGCATAAATAAAAGTAATCTGCTGTTTTTCTGGCACAGGTTCAAGGTCAAACCACTGATAGTCTAAGAAGCCACCACTTTATACTCACACACTGACACTGATCAACACAGCTATGCATCGCTACATATGGAGCCTCCGCTCTCAGCAGGCAGGAAGGTCTTCATCCCATCCGACCGTAATAAGGGAAAAAAATCCGTAGTTTCTCCATTTGCTTAGAGATCAGAATGACCATAGCAACGTAAGTGCTTGGGCGATATTACAGGGATTTTTAAGATGCTCGGGCTACGTCAGAATTTACGGATCCTGACTCCAGAAAGGCATGCGCCGTTTTTACTCTCTCTAACCGACTCTGCAGACATCAGCATGAATCCTTCAAGGAGGAGGAAAAAAAAAAAAAAATCTCACGTTGGCGGCGGCGACAAATCTCTCCTCCCAGTCCCTCCTCCAAAAAATAAGGATAATATAACAAAAAGAAGAAAAAAACTTTCGGCGTCCAAAGCTAGTATCCAGAACGCTGCAGAGGCTCTGCGGAGGTCCAGCGGCTTGCAATGAGGCGAGCGGCGAGCGGCGGGCGAGGACCGCGTCCCGGAGCTCGCGTGCTGCCCGGGCTGCCGCGAACAGGTGTCGCCGCGCGGGCCGCGCAGCGCCGTGGCCGCGGAGCGCTCCTCCTGCGCAGCCCCCGCCGGCGCGCAGAGTGGCGCAGGCGGCGGCATTGGGCCGGGTTTAAGGTAGCGCGGCGGCCGCCCCGCTCCGCCCGGTCCTAGCGCCCGCCCTGACGCCCGAGCCGCTCTGCCGCAGGCCGGGCACAGGCGGCCAGAGCGCGGGACTTCTCGGGGCGGACGACCTAGGAAACCGGGCTTTAGAGACGAGCAAGCCGGAGATGCGGTGGCCAGAGGCGGGAAGCAGCAGCCGGGGAGACCTTCGGTCACCTGAAATCTAGCTCGCTCGAGACGCGGGGCCAGAGGGGAACTGGGAAAGCAGTTTTCGCGTGGACTCTGTAACCTTGCGTCGCGTTATAAAATAGCCTTGGAGGGAAGGGTTGGTGTAGGGAGCTTGGTTGGACAGGGCAGTTTCTCTTTCATTCTTCAGGCAGACTCAGAGAAGCGCAAACTATATTGCAGGTAAGACAGTTGGATGTAGAGTCAGATCTCTCTCTCTCTCTCTCTCTCTCTCTCTCTCTCTCTCTCTCTCTCTCTCTCTCTCTCTCTCTCTCTCTCTCTCTCACACACACACACACACACACACACACACACACACACACACACACACTTGGGTTTGTTAGGAGCCTTCTGACTTGCATCTTTGGGTTGTTTAGGTCCTGCCTCCGCCTCCCAGGTTCCCGCGGCTAGGAGCAAAGGGCACCCGGGGCTCCTCTGTCCTTGAGTTCGACTCACGCCCCAGATCTGAGTGTGCGTCTTCGGGGAGAAGATTCCACTGAGTTCCCTCTAGCTCCCAAGCCAAGCTACTCAGGACGGTCTTTGCCACCCTGAGCTCTACTTTGCCTGGGAGAAAGGGAAGGCACGCGTTCCAGGGTCTCCCTCCATGGCCCGAAGCTCTCTGCATAGCCTGAGCAGGGCGGGAGCCGCCGGCCGGGC